CAATTAAATATATTTAATGACGTCATCATCAGTAAAACGTGGAGGAAAAAGTGGGGGAAAAAAATGGGGAAAAAAGTGGGGGGAAAAAGTGTGGGGAAAGAGTGGGGGAAAAAAGTGGGGGAAAAAAAGTGGGGGAAAAAAAGTCGGGCAAAAAAAGTAAGGGGAAAAAAAGTGGAGGGAAAAAAAGTGGAGGAAAAAAAAATGGGGGAAAAAAGTGGGGGAAAAAAAGTAGGGGAAAAAAGTAGGGGAAAAATGGGGGGAAAAAAGTGGGGGAAAAAAGTTGGGGAAAAAAACTAGGGGAAAAAAACGTGGGGGAGAAAAAAGTGGGGGAAACCCTTTAGATTTTGGAAAATTTTGAAAAGTCATAACTTTTTTTCTATTATAGATAGAAAGCTGAATCTTTCACTGAAAATTATCCTTTTCAAAGGACTACAATTTTTGAAAATTTCAGCTCATTGACACTTATAGTTCCTGAGATAAAATCGTGTTAAGCAATTGTGGTGATTTATCAATTTTTCAATTTTTCTGAGTGCCTTTTTTCATGGATTTTGGCTTCAAATCTGAGAATAATGTAGTTTATGGAGTTCAGGGTATCACGAGGGACCATTAGGACACAAAATCTCGACAAAAAAAAATTTGAAATTTCATCGTTTTAGTAGGAAGGTACCCCCCTTATGATTTTTTTGGAAAATTTTGAAAAGTCATAACTTTTTTTCTATTATAGATAGAAAGCTGAATCTTTCACTGAAAATTATCCTTTTCAAAGGGCTACAATCCCTGAAAATTTCAGCTCATTGACACTTATAGTTCCTGAGATAAAATCGTGTTAAGCAATTGTGGTGATTTATCAATTTTTCAATTTTTCTGAGTGCCTTTTTTCATGGATTTTGGCTTCAAATCTGAGAATAATGTAGTTTATGGAGTTCAGGGTATCACGAGGGACCATTAGGACACAAAATCTCGACAAAAAAAAATTTGAAATTTCATCGTTTTAGTAGGAAGGTACCCCCCTTATGATTTTTTTGGAAAATTTTGAAAAGTCATAACTTTTTTTCTATTATAGATAGAAAGCTGAATCTTTCACTGAAAATTATCCTTTTCAAAGGGCTACAATCCCTGAAAATTTCAGCTCATTGACACTTATAGTTCCTGAGATAAAATCGTGTTAAGCAATTGTGGTGATTTATCAATTTTTCAATTTTTCTGAGTGCCTTTTTTCATGGATTTTGGCTTCAAATCTGAGAATAATGTAGTTTATGGAGTTCAGGGTATCACGAGGGACCATTAGGACACAAAATCTCGACAAAAAAAAATTTGAAATTTCATCGTTTTAGTAGGAAGGTACCCCCCTTATGATTTTTTTGGAAAATTTTGAAAAGTCATAACTTTTTTTCTATTATAGATAGAAAGCTGAATCTTTCACTGAAAATTATCCTTTTCAAAGGGCTACAATCCCTGAAAATTTCAGCTCATTGACACTTATAGTTCCTGAGATAAAATCGTGTTAAGCAATTGTGGTGATTTATCAATTTTTCAATTTTTCTGAGTGCCTTTTTTCATGGATTTTGGCTTCAAATCTGAGAATAATGTAGTTTATGGAGTTCAGGGTATCACGAGGGACCATTAGGACACAAAATCTCGACAAAAAAAAATTTGAAATTTCATCGTTTTAGTAGGAAGGTACCCCCCTTATGATTTTTTTGGAAAATTTTGAAAAGTCATAACTTTTTTTCTATTATAGATAGAAAGCTGAATCTTTCACTGAAAATTATCCTTTTCAAAGGACTACAATCCCTGAAAATTTCAGCTCATTGACACTTATAGTTCCTGAGATAAAATCGTGTTAAGCAATTGTGGTGATTTATCAATTTTTCAATTTTTCTGAGTGCCTTTTTTCATAGATTTTGGCTTCAGATCTGGGAATAATTTAGTTTATGGAGTTCAGGGTATCACGAGGGACCATTAGGACACAAAATCTCGACAAAAAAAAATTTGAAATTTCATCGTTTTAGTAGGAAGGTACCCCCCTTATGATTTTTTTGGAAAATTTTGAAAAGTCATAACTTTTTTTCTATTATAGATAGAAAGCTGAATCTTTCACTGAAAATTATCCTTTTCAAAGGGCTACAATCCCTGAAAATTTCAGCTCATTGACACTTATAGTTCCTGAGATAAAATCGTGTTAAGCAATTGTGGTGATTTATCAATTTTTCAATTTTTCTGAGTGCCTTTTTTCATGGATTTTGGCTTCAAATCTGAGAATAATGTAGTTTATGGAGTTCAGGGTATCACGAGGGACCATTAGGACACAAAATCTCGACAAAAAAAAATTTGAAATTTCATCGTTTTAGTAGGAAGGTACCCCCCTTATGATTTTTTTGGAAAATTTTGAAAAGTCATAACTTTTTTTCTATTATAGATAGAAAGCTGAATCTTTCACTGAAAATTATCCTTTTCAAAGGACTACAATCCCTGAAAATTTCAGCTCATTGACACTTATAGTTCCTGAGATAAAATCGTGTTAAGCAATTGTGGTGATTTATCAATTTTTCAATTTTTCTGAGTGCCTTTTTTCATGGATTTTGGCTTCAAATCTGAGAATAATGTAGTTTATGGAGTTCAGGGTATCACGAGGGACCATTAGGACACAAAATCTCGACAAAAAAAAATTTGAAATTTCATCGTTTTAGTAGGAAGGTACCCCCCTTATGATTTTTTTGGAAAATTTTGAAAAGTCATAACTTTTTTTCTATTATAGATAGAAAGCTGAATCTTTCACTGAAAATTATCCTTTTCAAAGGACTACAATCCCTGAAAATTTCAGCTCATTGACACTTATAGTTCCTGAGATTTGTTTGAGCAATTACAGAGATTGGGTCGCATTCCGAGGACAGGTTATTTTGGGTTAGATTGGGTTATTTTGTATTCATTTTCTGTTTGAGTAATTTGATGAAAATCGGAAACAGAGATTGGGTCGCATTTCGAGGATGGGTCAGTTTGGGTTACTCTTGGGTTACAGCGCTCTTTTGTTACAGCGCTCTTTTGTGCAGCGCTCTTTCATTACAGAGCCATTAATTATGTATATAGTTTTTCCTACTGCCTTTGACGACACCTGCATGGGCCACTATCGACTATCTGTGAACAACCGCATATACAGGGTGATTCACGTAGCCCGTGCATTAGATGATATCTATACAAATGTCATCGATCTATACTAATCTACCTGCAGTTCGGATAACTTCTAATGCACAGGCTACATAAATCACGGTCTATAATACTTATGAAATTTTCCGCTATTTTTTTCTAGTGATAGGTACTTAAGTACTTCTCTACATCCACCTACTTTATGAAAAAATTTAAATAAAAATGATGAAAACTACTTTGAATCTAGTTCTATGTTAGGGATATTTGAAGGCAAAAAGTAGTACCTAATTAGTTTGACAACGAATTCTACTATTACACAAATTTCGGAATTATTGAGGTCAGATTTACAAACAAACTTAGGTTGAAATCGTATTACCAGCGTTGAAGAAGAGCACTTGGATTTTCATATTTTCCTCCCTCCAAGTTCACAAGCTTTGTATCTGATTTTATAGTTTTAGTACCTACCTTGATTTTTTTCCAAATAAATACCTATAGGCAGAGTAAATGGCATACGTTTATTCAATAATTAATAATAAACACATCTTTTTTTTGTGATTTTAAACTATATATTAATGGTTAGTTGTAAAGTCCTTAACAAAATATATTTATGTTATTATGTGGCTTTTTATAAATCTTCCACCAACTTTTAAATAATATTCTTTTCTTAGTGCCATTCCATTAAAGTATGTAAATAACAATTTCGAAAAAAAAAACAAGAAAATATAACATACTATAGAAAAATACAAAAATAAAAATACCTTCTGGACAATAATAAACATTAGAACTTTTGTGTCCAAAAAAAAAAGAATATTTCCGTTAAGTAAAATACTGAGAAATCTAAACAATACAAATAGAAAAAAATACATATAATACATTTTACACAAGAGGCAATGAACATTTCCAGCTTTTGCCAACAAGTTTTACCTAGTGCAATGTTTTTGTTGAACAAAATGCCGCTATAAAATCTGGATATCGTGAAAAAACATCATATTTTGCAAAATCGTTTCTATTTTTCCTAGAATTATTCGGAGTTATTGTAACTTTGAATGTACTTCTGTGGAAACCGTCAACAATGAGATTGTTGATAAACAGGAACACATTCTTGTTATTGGCCAGTCATCATACAATGGCCAAAGGTATCAGCATATATCAAATTTGGTAGCAGCTTCTTGAAGAGGGTAAAAGGTTGCCCCAATTGGAATAAAATTTCGAAATAACTCCAGGGTTACCAGAGAGATATTTTCGCATTCTCTATTGACGTCCCATGTCCATTGATTTCGGAAAGAGAGAAGAAAACAGCAAGTGCCATAGCAAAAGGGATAGGGATCTCTATCCGCTACAGAATCCCGCCTCAATTTTTATAAAAAGATGATTTCTGTGGTTTCTGTTTTATTTGAAATCTGCTTATTAAAGATTTGAATGAGTACCGTCATTCAAAAACACTGAGAATAACGAATGGTTAAGATTGGGTAATCCCAGCCTGAGCACAGAAAAAAAAAATGCAAATTTTTGGCAAGGCCATTTTGTTCAACATGGAAATACTCCACTTTGCACCAATTCAACTAAACTTACCATTTTCCAGGTCTAAATGTACCTCAAAAAAGACTCCCAAATGAAAATAATTTTATAAAAAAAACTTAAAAATTGGAAAGATTATATGCATGTAAAAATATAAAAAAACATCAAATGCTCCAAAACAAATAAATATCATCACAACAGTAACTTCAAATTACTCTTGCACACAGCGAGCTTGGTTTTATTTTTAGTCCCAGTAGGGGTCCTAGAGGAAGGAGTTTTTGCAGATGCTAGAGTCCTGGTTGGAGTTTAGAAAGTGGTATAGTTTTTTCAGGTGTTCTTTAAGTAGCTTTTGAGGAAGTTGATGGAGTTGGTTCAGTTGGCAAGATGGTGCTGCGCGTAGATTGTCCTTTATTTGACAAGTTGCTCTAAAAAAAAAACACAAAGTTTAATTTTTTTTTTTGTTATCGAAAGAGTTTAAAAGCGAAATACCATGTAAACTCTGGTAAACAAAATGGACCCAAGCTTTTTTCTTACATGCATCAAAATCTACATTTTATGTGTGACAAAAAATAGTTAATAATGTTGTTACAAAATTGTTACAAAAGTCATACAAATTTCACACAAAGCAATATTGATGAATATAAAAAAAATAGTACTGACCCTCTTCAATAGGCGAGCAAAGAGAGCTGTACGCCATTGGGTTTCTCTGTAAATTAAAGTATTTTTTATCACTATTTATTGAAGTATTTAGTACATCCAATTAAAGTGTTCATCTTTTCCAATAGCATAGGAATATGGCAGTCAAGTCAATAGGTTTTTTTTGTGCTGTTGACTCTATATCGTCTTGAAGAAGTCTGTTCATCCAATTGAAAATAAGGGCATTTTCACGGTAGTACCTATAGTCGAACCGTCCGATCCAACACAATATTTTTACAGATCGCATAGTGAGCAGAGCTGGGAGTAACGACATAAAATAGTTACCTACTTTACTTTAACGAGTCACTGAAATTCAAATTCAAATCTTTATTCATGTTTTTACATATTCAGTATGTTTACAATCGTCGACAAAGTAGTAAAATGATACATTAAGACAGGCAAAATACAATGTTTACATGAATATATAGTAATCCTACAATCTAATATACAAAACAGACACTAGTTAAAAAACTTGAGAAATAAATTCTTCAAAATTGTAAAAGGCATTACTTATTAAAATTTCCTTAATCCTATTTTTAAAATTTTTATAATCTAAGATTTTTATGTCATCAGGTAACACATTAAAAATTTTTATTGCCCAGTAACCAGGTCCAGTGTGACACCTCTTTAACCTCCAATAGGCAGGAACGAGGTTATCTTTATATCTAGTATTGTAGTCATGCTTGTCTTTGTGGCACTCAAAGGAATCCAGTCTTTGTTTAATATACAAGAGATTCTCAAGAATGTACTGAGATGGCAAAGTTAGAATTCCGAGTGTCTTAAAAGCATGTTTACACTCATCTCTGAAACGAAGTCTAGCTAGGATTCTTACTGCCCTCCGCTGTAGACTAAAGGCTCGACTGGTGTCAGCAGCATGGCCCCACACAAGAGTAGCATAAGAAAGATGCGAGTGAAAGATAGAGAAGTATGCTATTCGCATTATGTCTTGAGTGACACAGTTTTTGAGGTTTCGCAGAACGAAGATGCCTCTACTTAGCTTACTGCATAGCTCATTGATGTGGGGTCCCCACTGTAGTTTTGGATCAAGCTGAACTCCTAGAAATCCAACACTGCCTGTCTGATTTATGTTCCCATTATCTCTCATTGAGAATACAATTTGTTGTGTTTTTCCAGTATTAAGCAGCAGTTTATTCATTCTAAACCACTCCTCGGCTCCTTCCCGTGCCTCCCTGGAAACCTCCAAAGCCCTATCAAGAGCGCCCGCAGAGAAAGACAGTGTTGTATCGTCAGCGAATAGTGTGTACTTGGCTTTGTTGTCAATGGCTGGTAGATCATTAATATACACTAGAAACAGTATCGGACCCAGCACTGACCCCTGCGGGACACCGATGTTCATTACTCGTTCCGATGAGTCCACCCCAGAGATTCTCACTACCTGCACTCTGCCTGTAAGATAGGATTGAATTAAGTTGATTTATAGTTTTTAAATTTTTGCAAGAGGATGCTGTGGTCGACACAGTCAAAGGCCTTGTTAAGGTCACATAGCAAGACTGAGGTGAACTCAAGATTATGAAATGAATCTATTATATATGAGACCAGGTCCAGGATGGCCAGCACTGTATTCTTGCCTTCCCTAAAGCCAAATTGGCTTTTCGAAAAGTAGTTATATTATTTTCGAAGAAATCAACCACTTGTAGAGACATACATCTTTCAACTACCTTTGAAATTATTGGCAGTAGTGAAATTGGTCTATAGTTTTCAGGTAGTTGAGAGTTACCTTTTTTAAAAATGGGGGTTACAACAGCTCTTTTAAGAACTTGAGGGAATGTATTTTCTTGAAAGCATAAGTTTATCAGTTTAGTAAGAGGGCTTATTATAATATTTTTTACAGATTTAATTAGTTTTACATTCAGTCCATAAAGGTCAAGTTACTGATGACGTCTCTAACTTGGTTAAAAGTTACTGGAGAAAAAGAAAAGTTATTTCCTGTGGTGGTCAACTTCATATCAGGAAGACGTAAGTTGATTGATGGAATATCTTTTACTAGATTATTTGCAATTTCTGCAAAATACTGATTAAAGTTATCTGGAGAGATTGTATGATTTTCAGAACTTTTCTTATTTTTTGTAATACCCCGTTTGCAATTTATAATCTCCCAGACAGCACGTGACGGATTACCAGATGTCTGAATGTAATTCTTGTTAGATTGAAGCTTTGCTGTCCGTATTTCGGCTTTGTATCTTCTCCTAAGTTCTATATACATTTGAGAAATTTCTTCACTTTGATATTGTATACTGAGGTCATGCAAAAAACACAACTGTTCACGCATTGTTTTCAATTCCTCACTAAACCAATTTATTTTTTGTGGGTTATTTGATTTAGCTTTATAGACTTTTTCTGGAAAAGAGTCCAAGTAAGCTTTCTCAAGTATATTCATGAAATCAGCGAATTTATCATCAACATTCATATTAGTCCCATTTATAAAATCCCAATCTGCCTCATTTATTTTATTGTGGAATTGAAACTTACCCCTTTGTGTTATAGGTCTAGACATTGTTATGTTTTCTATGTAAGGCTGTCTCTTCGTTTCTGCTATGAAATCAACCCGCTGACCTCGGTGATCAGAAAAACCCAGGTCAAAAACCTCAGCCAATCTAACCTCTGTATCTTGATCTAGAAAAATATTGTCAAGACAGTTTTCACCTCTTGTTGCTTCAAAAACTGTTTGTTTCATGTTGAAACTCTCCAGTACATTTCGCATTTGTAGGTAGTTGGTATGTTCACTGCCAAGTGCTATGTTGAAGTCGCCTGCCAAAACAGTTCGCCTGTTCGTGCCCAAGCGAGATAACATCCCATCCAAGGATGTCAAAAAGGTGTCACAATTACCTGATGGACAGCGATAAACAGTTAAAAAATTTAAATTAAAATATGTCAAACGAATACAACAACATTCTAAACATTTTTCTACATTAAAATCTGAACAAATACTTAACACACTAAAATCAATATTTTTTTTTATAAAGATGGCAGTTCCACCACCAGTGGAGTTTTGTCTTGCCGAATAGTCAGCTAGTCTATAATCTGGAATTTCCAATGTTTCAATTTCTGTACCAGTCATCCAGTGCTCTGTCAGACAGACAACATCAAAGTTTTTGTCTACTAGAAAAGCTTCCAGCTCATCAGTTTTGTTTCGTAATGACCTTACATTTGCGTGCATTACGCTTATAATTTTCTGAGTGTCATCTTTCGACTCTGAAGGTTTATAAAATGGTTTATGATGACTCCGTTGGACCACAGTGTCGAGGTCATGTATTTATCTCGGCTGTTGTGTAGTACAGCCAATTTGAATGAAGAACGGTATTTGCTCTTCTTTGTGTGGATTTTTTCACATGAACATCCCTTGTCCAGTTCATTTTGTTTTAGATATTCCATAATTTCGTTACTTTTCACCTCTGGTGCAAAGCCTGAGATAAAAAGAAAAGACATTCTTTGTGCTATCTTCAGGAAAGGTGCATTTTCATTGTTACCTTTCAGTGGTTTCGGTCTTTCGAATTTTGTTGTTTTGGGTGCATCAGTGATTTTCTTATCATCCCTCTGGGGCGACGGTTTCTGTTTAAAGCCTCTCCGTTTCTGAGTTTGCCATAATTCTTTGTTTTCTGGGATTTGGTTTTGAGTGTTTACAAAATTTATCGCCGAGTCACGCTGTTTCGGGCTGTCGATGTCATTGGTGACGTCAGCCAGCACCAGCTGTTCTATATGTTGGTTTTCAGAATTTACGATTTCGTCGTTTGAAACCGCAATTTTTGGAGTTCGGGTGGCGCCATCTAACGGTATTTCTTCCTGTTTCTGCACTAGCGGGTCACCGCCACGGTCACCAACAACATCCGTGGCAGCACCGGGGCCCGAGACCACTGGTAGAGGGCGCGGGCGGGGCGAAGTGAACGTTGGAAAGATTGGTATGCAGGAAGTGCTTGGATTATGTAACGATTTGCTTAGCGTTTCGTACCTTTCTTTCCATAAATTGCCATTTTCTTCCAGGGTCCTGTTCTGCTTTTCCAGCTCGACCAAGAGTCTCTTTAGATAGATAATTTCGATTTTCGAGGCTATTTCATGGTTAACCTCCAAATCGGCTTTGCAGCAGATTACACGAGTTTCATCGATGAAATGAACTTTCTCGGCAAAATCGCGAGTAGCACATGATTTGTGAAAAACACTACCACAGTTTACACACACCACAGCACCAGACTTCTTCTTACAGCACTTAAAAATTGCTTTTTCGTCGCACGACGTACTTTTTAGACGTTCCTTAGTCGGCGCCATCTTTCGAAAGTAACGCGTTACTTGGTAACTTAGTTACTTTTCAAATTTATTGATAAATAACTGTAACGACGTTACTTTCCTGAAGTAACTGCAGATCGTTATTTTGTTAAAGTAACGAGTTAGGTACTATGAAAGTAGCGCGTTACTATGAAAATAACGCGTTACTAATTACTATATGAACAATTTGTTTATCTTCCTTATAAATAATTGAAAATTGAGGAAAAGGTAAATCAAATGTGGGTAGTACAGAAAATTTGTTTTGAAAGCTCAAAATAATCGTTTTTGGGCGTGGCACGCGCCGCCTTTGCTCTAAAGACACTGCAGACGCTGGGCACTGGGACGCTTCAAAAAGCAGGTTTGTCCTAAACTAAGTTCACTATTTAGTCGCTTCATCCTTAATAGACCTTTTCAAAGTAGAATAATTCTGTTGCGCATGCGCAAAACATTGTTGCCAAGTGTCAGTTTCTATCACGCTATACAGGAAAGAATAATGAATAATTTCGATTTCATTAGAACTGAGATTCAAATTCTTTAGTATTAACATAGAATAATATACGGACTAGAAGGATAATTGCATGTTAAAAATCGGGCCCCTCCGATGGATCCAGGCTTTCTGTCGCGCGATTCCATTTGACCCCTGAGTACGAAAACCTAGACCGTGTTGCCAATTGCAGCATATTGTCGTTGTGTTTCTATCTTTGTAATTTTATTTTTATTTTTATTTCTACTGATGAGAAAAATTTACAAGAATTATATTATTGGCTAATTACACATTTGTTTACTAGGTCCAACAATTTTTATATCGAAAAATGTCATGAATTTTGATCCTTTTCGACTGCCTGGGTGCATTTTCATGATATATTTGAGCAAATTAAAATTAATAAAATCTGTAACTTTGGTTTTAAATAATAATGGCATTAATATTTACTTTTCACTGATTATTTCATTAACTTGGTCTTGGAAATTTGACTCGTTTTGTAAATAACAATAAAAAGGCAAGGGTTCGTTCTGTAAAATTCCCAAATAATTAGCAAAAAAATGCATAGGGTATTTTTTTATAAGCCCTATGTATGAAAAAAAAAAAACAAAACACCAAAATATACACATTAAATTTAAAATCTTCTAAATCATCATGCGAAATCACTGTAACGACAGTTTGGATATTCGCAATCAGTCCAACATTTTTATCCTTGTAAATTTCTTCTACCTACGAGCGTGCGGTAAAGTGCACTTTACTGCACGTATTTGAAAATGGAAAGTAGCACTTTAGCGCATACTATGCTGCAAAGTTAACTTTACCGCATAGTGTGCGGTAAAGTTAACTTTGCAGCATAGTATGCGGTAAAGTGGATTACAAAGTGTAAAGTGCACTTTACCGCATAGTGTGCGGTAAAGTAGAATTTGATATTTATTTTCAAAATTCCTTTCTTCTTCAGAAAATAGATTTTTAATCTATGTTGTCGTTGTCTATAGTTAATACTCAGGTTAAGTCACGTAAGCAAGTCGGATGTGTTTAATTTGTTGATTTTTGAAAGTAATTAACTGAAAAAAAGTGTTTCGGATGTCTAAAGCTACAGTATAATTGATGGAATATAGTGAGTAAACGGGTTTTGTGATATTTTCGGCAATGTAGGAATATATCGTAAAAACAAGATTTTAATGGACACAACCTAGAAATGGAATGCAATAATTGTAAACAAACAGCACGAACATTTAAGTGTGATAATTGCTGTAAAAAGTTATGCAAGGCTTGCTCAGGAATTACAGCATCAGAAGTAAAAGTGCTGGAATTAAAGGAAAGAATATTGCATTATTATTGTAAAGATTGCACGGACCTCCAAGCGCTAAAACTCTTGAACGATCTTATTCAAAGCAAAAACGAAGTGATTGCAAGTAAAGACGAAATAATCCTACTACTCAAAAAAGAACTGGATGAACAAAAATCAAAAATCCTTGATCTATCAACTGAAGGCCCCATACAATTATTTGCAGCTGTGGTGCATCAGAATAAACAAAGATTGACAAATGGGCCATCACCCAATAATACTCCTACCAACCTAATCATCAAACCAAAAGCACAACAGAGCTCAGAAGTAACTAAAATCGACATAATGAAACACATAAAGCCCTCGGAACTAAACATTGGAATAAATAAATGGGAAATTTAATAATTAAGTGTCATGATACAAAAAACATACAGAAACTAAAAAACGAAATTGAACAGAAACTTAGTACTTACTATGAAGTGGAGGAAACCAAACTTCGAAATCCACAAGTAAAAATTGTTGGATACGCTATTGAAGATGCATCAACGAACACAGAAATTGAAAATTTAATAAAAAGTCAGAATACTTTTATTGCCCAGGATGATTTATTTAAAATCACATTTATCAAAAAAACCAAAGCAAATAGTAAAATTATCTTTGCAGAATGCTCACCCAACCTATTTAAAAAATTTATGGCTTACAGGAAGATCTATATTGGATGGGAACGCTATCCAGTGTATGAGAACCTTTCAGTTAAGCAATGTTTCAAGTGCACTGGTTTTTACCATAACAACACTCAATGTCAAAACAAGGCCAAATGCTCATATTGCGGAGAAGAGCACCCACGAAATGAATGTAGGCTTAGTGTAACAGGACAAGGAAAAAAATGTATCAACTGCGAAACGTCAAATAAAAAATACAAAACCAGCTATGGCCTCGAACATGAGGCAACGGACCCTCATTGTCCAACATATATGTACCATTTGGAAGTGCTAAGAAGTAAAATAAAATATGTCTAAGCAACAAGAAGCCGATCTCTTGAACTCAATTCACTGTGATATATGTAGTGAGACTGTTGGTCCGTTGGATATTTTGGGTAAAATTAATATAATAGATAAAAAATTCAATGTTTTACATCTTAATATTAGAAGTGCTAGGAAAAATTTTGACGAATTATTATCTTTTCTTGAATCTTTTAAAATCAAATATTGCAATATTATTGTACTTAGCGAATGTTATCGACTGGATTCTTGTGACGAGTTCTCAATCCAGGGTTACACAACATATTATAACGGGGGAAACATGAACAAAAACGATGGTATCCTTATATTAGTTAAAACTAAATTGAACGCTAACATAACAACACATGAACTTGCTTCCACTAAAATAATAGTTAATAGAGTTACCTTGGAAATAAATAAAATACAATATGGTCTAACTTGTGTATATCGTTCTCCACAAACATCCATAGACTGCTTCGTTAGTGATCTAAACCTTTACCTATCAAATCATTCCTCTAGAAATGTTGAGATGTTGGTGGGAGACATCAATATTAATATTCTGGATGATTCAGACCAAAAAGTAGCTAATTATTGTTCAGCACTGTGCCTGCATGGTTATCAACCATATATAAACTCAATCACTAGAGAAATTACAAAAACATGCTTAGATCACATTTTTCTAAAAAATAATCTCAAAATAAACAACATTGTAATTGATAGTTATATAATAGACTACGACATCACTGACCATTACCCAATAATGCTCAATATCTCTCAGAAGTCAGCTCCGGAAACATATGATCACCTAATACAGATACGTTATATATATATATATATATATATATATTTATTTATTTATTTATTTATTGTTGTTGTAGCAGTTTACATTTCTATAGCACAAAGCGTACAGTAATATAAATATAATAATATACTACAAAATATGAAAACTTCTACTTTAGTGCACAATGGTACTTAAAGTACTGTGTGTGCACTAATTTTCTTATACAAGTAGCTATGAGGTTTTTATATTAAGCCTTATATAATAAAAAGTAACAGGACGCAAATCATCTACTTATGACTAATTTCAATACTGTAACAGTGGTAGTTAATGTAAAAATAACAACAGAGATAAGTTTATGTGTAGATAGTATCTAATCTAGACTACATAATTACTTTGAAGGATCCATTGTCTTATTTCTTTTTTGCATTTGGAGTATGGCTTTAATTTGATATTATTTGGAAGGCAATTAAAAATTTTTGGACCTAGACAGTAAATATGATTTTGGCAAGCAGTATGCTTGGGGTTTTGCCGCGTGACATTGTTTTGCGCTGCATTTCTTGTATTTCGTCCGTGGTTGATGGGTTCTTTATAGTATGGTATTTTTACCATAAATCTAGCAACCGCTTTAAGGTGTAACTGTCTGATATCCAATAATTGGCTTTCTCTGAAGAGCAATTCAGTAGGAAACCTTTTATTTTTGAATAGCATAATTTTGATAATATATTTTTGTGCAACTTGAAGCTTATTTATTATTGTCACCCCGGCACTAACCCAAACCACCACCCCATAGTTCAAAATTGATTCAACCAGAGCATAGTAAACCATCTTTAATGTACTCAGACTTAAAACATTTCGCAGCTCATAAAATTTATATATTAATTTCCTTATTTTTCCTGTCACATAATTAACTTGCTCTTTCCATGTAAAGTTTTGATCAAGGTAGATCCCTAAGTAGGTACTTTATACATTTCACCCTCTCTATTAATTTATTGCATACACAGATTTGGCTTAAATCACAGTCATAGTTGTGGAGTTTCAGGTTTTGGAAATTTGGCAAGTGCAAAAGTGAGAAATTTTGTTTTGTCTACATTTAGGGATAGAAGGCTGTTGTCTAACCATCTTTTAATTTTTTGAATGGCTTTCTCTGCTAGATTTTTCGCACTCTCCCAGTCGTCGCTCCAAATTAATATAGCAGAGTCGTCAGCGAAACAGAACACCACTCCATTCTCCGCCAGAATTTGCATCAGACTATCGATATATATATTAAATAATAATGTTGAAAGGACTGTACCCTGTGGCACACCAAACTCTACATCCACCTCGTCGTTAACTTCCGCCGCTATTTTTGTAGTTTGTTTTCTTTTCAAATACGATTTGACTAGGTTATTTGGC